GCTCAAAGCAGGCCTCCCTGGGTGGTTAAATTGCTGGTTAGGACATCCACATCCACATCAAAGTACCCATGTTCAAAACCCAGCTCCGGCTCCTGACTCCTGCTTCCTGCTCATGCAGACCCTGGGAGACAACTATGATGGCTCAATTAACTGAACTCCCCCCACGCACATGGGAGATATGTATTGAATTCCTTGCTCCCAGCTTTGCTCCCCAGCTATTGGGGCCATTTGGAATGTGAACCAGCAGGTGGAACCTAGCTCTCTCTTACCTCTCTCTCTCAAATAAATAAAAATTAAAACTAAGTGCAGATCACCAGGATGCAATTAAAAAGCACAAATCAGTTCTGAGATATTGATGCCAGAAATGGACAACCTGAATCCAACAGGCAAAACTGATTAAGGGACATTCTACAGAACAACCACAGGTAATATTCATGAATATGAGGGTTATGACAGTCCAGGAAGGCCTGCAAAGCTAGTCTGGATCGAAACAGCCTAAAGAGACATAACAACTCAGTGTCATCTGTCATTATGGACTGGGCTTTTTGTCTGTATATTTGTGAAGACAACAGGTGAAACTTGAATGAATGGCACTTGAGGATTACCTGGCATTAATGTGTCAGTATTAATTTCCTGATTTTGACAGATGAAGAGAATGTCTTTGTTGGTAAGAAATCCACACTAAATATTTGGAGGTGATTGGAGGTGATGAAATATCATGTAAACAACTTATTCTCAAATGTTTCAGGGAGAGCAATTTCATCTGTTGTTCTTGCAAGCTCCAGTTCTCTTCCAACTAGCAGGTGAAAACAAGAGGCATACTGAGCATGGAGATGAGATAGAAAGTTTGAAAGTTTGCTCAGAGAGGAGTAAACAGGAGATGGAGTAAAACAGCTACGAGAGTAGGTCAAAAAGTTCATGGAAAATGGAATTAAAAGATAAATTTGTTTTGGTGTAAAAAAATTGAAACCCATACAGAGAGGGGACTACATAGAGAAGTTTTCTTGGAAAATATATTATGACAAAATTCTGCAGGGATTTCAAAATTCTTTCATCAAATTAAATTTATGTTTTAATTCCATTTTCCACAAACTTAAAAGTGCCCTTATATGTCAGCCTTGTGGGGAATTAGACGATCGAGAAGAGTAGGTGGGAGAAGAAAGGTGGAATACTGACATAGTTGACTGAAACCAATGGGGATTTGGAGGAGTTGGCAGGTTAACAGAGAAAAGGCTGAGTGAGTGGGAAGATGAAGAAAAGAGGAGGCTGGGGAAGAGAACTAATATTTGTTGACTGCCTCCTCTGTATGAAGCACTAGGCTGGGCATTTAAATTCCATTTGACTCCTACATATACTTGTTTTCCACATTTGGGGGGGGGGGGGAAGGATAAACTAAGCCTCAAAGAAGTAAAGTAACCAGTCCAAAGTAATACAGCCAGTAAACAGAAGCAAGACTTTAACCCAGAATATGTGACTTCTTAGATAATGAGGTGGTAGAGAAATGGTCTCATCAGCTCAAGGAGGAGAGAATTTAATTTCTGCCTCAGTGATTGGATAAGGCACAGAGAGTGGGTGAGAAAATGATAATGGGGGTTAGGACGTTGAGGTAGAAGCCCACCTTTGGATTATTTAAATAAAGGGGGAGTGCTGGTTGAAATCATTGGGGAAATAGCAAAGTAAGCAAAGAGAAGCACGTGTGCTTGAGTGGAAGCAGGGGAGCTGGGAGAGGAGTTTGCCAAAGACTTGAGGGTATAGGTCACAGACTTTTCAGTGGCCTGCAGTGATGCCACTTCCTAGAACACACATACTGTGTGAGCCTCTCTGCTCTGGGGGCTGGATCTGATGGCTTGTTTTCAACCAAGAGAACAGGGCAAGAGACATAGGATGGTCACTTTTTCTGTGGTTAGCTCACAAAAGTATGACTTACACTTTCCTAACAGTCTCTCTCTCATTGGTTTCATGGAAAACAAGAGTCCACATTGAACATATCCACGGGTAGAGAGCTGAGGGAATTTCCAACTAACAACCAGAAAGAATGAGGCCCTAAGTCAGTATTCACTATGAAACTGAATCCTGCCAACAATCGAGTGAGCTTGGGAGCAGCTTTTGTCCGAACCTTGACAGAGAAAAGCTGGGTTACCTCGGGAGAGACCCTGAGGATCTATCTAAGTAAGCCTGGCTTTCTGTCCCACAGAAACTGAGATAATAAATGTGTGTTGTTTAGGTCACTTTTTTGTTTTAAAAAAGGATTCATTTATTTATTTTAAAGGCAGAATGATGGAGAGAACTTTTCATCCACACCAGTTGGGGCTGGGCCAGGCCAAAGCCAGGAGCCAACAGAACTCCATCCAGGTCTCCCACGTAGGTGGAAGGAACCTAAGCACTTGGGCCACCATTCATTACCTTCCTAGGCAGATTAGCAGGAAACTGGATAGGAAATGGAGCAGCCAGAACTTGAACTGGCACTCAGAAATGGGAAGCCAGTGTAACCTGCTGTGCCACAACACCACCGCCCCTCCCTTTTTAAATCTTTTTTAGAGTTATTTCTTTATTTGAAAGGCAGAGCACCAGAAAGAGCAGAGAGAGAGAGAGAGAGAGAGAGAGAGAGAATATTTCAGCTGCTGGTTCACTCCTCAAATGCCCATACTAGCTGGGACTGGGTCAGGCCAAAGCCAGGAGTCAGGGACTCCATCCGGATCTCCCATGTGGGTGGCAGGGACTCAAGCACTTAAGCCATCATCCACTGTCTTCCCAGGTACATTAGCAGGAAACTAGATAGAAAGTGGAACAGCTGGGACTCAAACTGGCACTGTGATATGGGTGCCAGCTTAACCTGCTGTGTCAGACACCAGTGAATTAAAAGCTCCATGACCCTCCAGGTTGAGCACCCTGGGGTGGGCTGCAGCACTGGGACACAGCCAGGGCGGGAAGCGGATGTGAATACCAGAAGGTGGGAGAACAGAATAGCCCCTTGGGGACCTAATCTGTAGCTGGAGGTCCTGGAAGTTTGCATTGCTCTGTTTTACGCATTTTTAACTTCAGTCCATACAAGGCCCCCTTTGACTTTGACTTCTGATTTTAACCCTGATTCTCACATCCTACCCGCACTCTAATGAACGTGGTAGGTCCCTGAAGATGGACTGGTTTTGTCTGAATTGTAGCTTTGTTTTATGTGTGTATATATGTTACAAGTTACATAAATGGTGCTATGCTATAAATACTGTTTTTCTCTTTTTCCGGTCTACATTATGACTTCAGATTTGCCCTGTGGGGCAGGTGTTGTGGCACAGCAGGTTAAGCCACTGCTTGGGGCCCCTGCATTCCATATCAGAGTGCCAGTTCGAATCCCAGCTACACTGCTTCTGATCCAGCTCCCCGCTAATGTGCCTAGGAACAACTGACGGTGTCTCAAGTGTCTGAGTTCCTGCCACCCAACAGGGAGACCCAGATGGAGTCACTGGCTCCTGGCTTCAGCCTAACTCAGTCCTGGTTGTTGCTGCCATCTGGGGATTGAAACAACAAATGGAAGATCACTCTGTGTGTTCCTTTGCCTTTAAAATTTAAATAAATTTCTTTTATTAAGAGTTGCTCTGTGAACATGTAGCTGGTTGCTTCCCACAGCGGCATAGACACCATAATGCGCATCCACCACATCCTGCTCCTCCTTTCCCAGTCTTTCCCGGTCCTGGAGCCAGATATCTGGCCTGCCTCCAGATTCCACCCCCACAATTAGGTATTGGCAACAAAGCGAATCTAAGAGTCCACCTGGTAGCAGAACACCCTCCTTTGCCTGCAATTACTTCTCAGCCTTTGCTTCTACTGCTTCCCTTTCCTGGGTGGAGGTCAACCCACCAGAATGCACTCTTAGAGATGAGAAAATTCAGTGTCTAACTTTGTGTAGAGTAACCTCCCATTTGGCTAGTCCAACAAGATTTTGAGAGGCACTTTTTTTTAATTACATTGAAGAAAGTAGTGGGGTATATAGTAGTGCTGTGGTATAGCGGGTTAAGCTGCCACCTGCAGCGCCAGCATCCCATATGGGCGCCGGTTCAAGTCCTGGCTGCTCCACTCCCAATCCAGCTCTCTGCATGGCCTGGGAAAGCAATAGAAGATGGCCCAGGTCCTTGGGTCCCTGCACCTGTGTGGGATACCTGGAAGAAGTTCCTGGCTCCTGGCTTCTGATAGGCACATCTCTGGCTGTTGTGGCCATCTGGGGAGTGAACCAGTGGATGGAAGACCTCTCTCTGTCTCTCTGCCTCTGCCTCTCTGTAACTATGCCTTTCAAATAAATAATAAATCTTTTTAAAAAATAGTAGCACAAGAGCTGGTATTCTGGCATGGGCTTGTTAAGCCAATGCTTGTGACACCAGCATCCTGTATCGGGAGTGCCAGTTTGAGCACCAGATGCTCCACTTCTGATCCAGCTTCCTGCTGATGCACCTGGAAAGGCAGCAGGTGGTGGCTCAAGTACTTGGGCCCCTGCCACCCATGTGGGAGATCCAGCTAGAGTTCCAGTTTCCTGGCTTTGGCCTAGCCCAGCCCCAGCTGTTGCAGCCATTTGGGGAGTGAACCAGCAAGAGCTCTCACTGTCTATCTCCTCCTCTCTCTGTTGCTCTGCCTTTTAAATAAATTAATTTTTTTAAAAGTAGTATGATGGTGATTCCCAAGCTTGGTTTGCCCAAAGTGAATGAACGTGAAAAAAAACTAAAAATAAAATGATATTTAATGTATTTCAATTTGAAAATAAATACATATTGTGAATAGGAAAGGGAAAGACAAAGGAGAAATTGGCAGAATCAAGTAACTGCAAACCATGGAGATTCTTCCAGAGTGAGAAATCACTTACCAAGAGCAAATAACTCCAGAAGCTTAGCTCACAGGACTCTGAGACATGAAGGGCAAAAATGAAAAAGGAACAAAGTTTAGGTGATCAGGAAAGCCAAAATGTCTACACTCCTCCAGTACCAAGTGCCATGCTGACTCAAAGAAAGCAAGCCATACCATGTGGAATCAATTTTTATTTCTGAATTATACAGAGAGGCTATATTGATATATTGTGTTGTTACATATTTTGTATTATTAATCCACACTATTTGAGAGGAATTCATTTATTTAACAAAACAAAATCTAATACTTTATTCTGAGCAATCCAATACATGGTAGAAAAACTTTAAATATATAAAAGATTAATTTGTGCACATCTAAATGCTTCTAAGGGAGCAAACTATGGAGGCATCATGATAAGAAGAGAGTTGCAACAAAGTTCCATAACTGAATACCCAGAATTATATCTAGCAAAAAAGGCTAGGAGTAGGGACTGCCTCATATCTCAGAGTATGTCTTGTAGGGTTACCCCATAAGACTTATATGGCTTCAACAGGAACTTTAGGGTCTTCTTCCAAACCCAGCTAGTGTCATCAAATAAACTGTCCCACTCCTTGACAGTATCTTTTGTGTAGATTTTTGTTTTTTCTCTTAATCAAGGAGTGACCTAAAGAGCAGTTACCACTTTCAGAAAACAATGCTTTTGTCTCCCATTAGCCCCCTTGGTTCCCTTAACTACAAATTTATAGAAAAAGTGCAAAGCGGTTTCCAGAAGTCAGAACCAAAGCAAGAATGCTGCAAATGCAAGAGCTAGAGAGCTGAATATGGGAACGTTTACATCTGTCTACCTACCTGTTTAGGGATTATGTTTTCAGCATTTGTCTAGGAGTCTATTTACTTGAATTGAATTTACATGATAGCTTTTCTCTAGCACGTGCAATTAAATTAATTTGTATTTTTAAGATAATAAAATGTCTACGTATCAGAATGGTGGTTATGCAGCCTATAGAATAGTTCAAACAAAATTATTGATTGGGAAAGATGTTCATAATTTCTGTGGAAGGAGACTGAGCTTCCAATACATCCCCTTATAGCCTTCCATAACCAGGCTGGACAGGGCCAGATAAAATGTGAATGGTAAGATTGTTGCCATGTTTGGTTGGCTCTAGCAAGAGCCTTTTATCAACAGCTCTTGTGTTCTCAGATTGGCACCAACACTACTCTCTGAGACAGGCACAATGTGGGCCTCCAAAAGCAGAGGTGGGCAGGGGGAGAAGGTGGCCTGTAAGGTTTCTCTATAGGACAAGCCAGGTGTTTAGAGGAAAGAGATCCAAAATAACACAAAGTTCAACAGGCTACCAAACTGAAAGGGACCAAGAGGGGAAAATCAAGTCTATGGGGACGGACAGCTGATGCACCTGTATTGCAAGGCCATGTGTGGAAGGTGGATGGGAGGTGGACATCAAGCAAATGAGGTCAGTGAAACTCAGTCACCTGTACAAAGATGTCTACTTCAAAATTCTTCAGGTCAATTACAGCCCAGGGCTCAAGGTGTCGGAAATAGCACACTCCCCAGTGAAGTTGCCACCACAAGGCTATGGAGGAACTCCTCTCTATGTTTTGTGTTTATTTCTTATTTGTTTAATAGGTAATACAGGTTGTTTAGTGGGTCATAGGTGACACTGGAGGGTAAGAATGGGTCCCACAGTAATGTGAAGACCTCAGCAACACCTACATGTGACTAAAGAGAAGCTTGGGTCTTGCAAGTCCTACCTGAGCCACGCTTTGTGGCTGGAGTAACTTCATCTTTTTCAGTAGGCCAGGACTTTTATTTCACTGTCTTTTGGTGTCAGAATTTCATTTTGATGAAAATTAGTTAATGTGTGTCCATTCTGTTAGAGATAGTATCCAAATGCAACAGGGGGATGCTGGAGGAAAGGATGTACTTGCTAGAGCAGAGGCTGGTAAGCTCTTGCTGGGAAGATAGTAAATATTGGAGGCTCTGTGGGCCAGATGGTCTGCTGTAGCTGCTCAGCTCTGCCACTGTAGTGTGAAACTAGCTGTGCAGGGAGCAAAACCATATTTCTGTAACTGTGTTTCAGTAACACTTTATTTATGGATACTTAAATTTGAATAATTCTCATGTAGTGCTACAGTTTTTTTTTTCCCCAATCAAAAATGTGAAAACCATTCTTACCTAACAGGCCCTACAAAAACAGTGATATACTAGCATAGAGACCCACAGATCTGAAACCATGCTGTGCTTTAAAGCATATCACTTTTCATAATTCAGGCAGGAGAGAAATTTGGACATGTAAGTTTTGAGTGGGTTACCTTACACTTAAGTCCCTGATGCTTAAACTATAACATCTTGAACTAGTTTATGGCCTAAAATACAGACAGCTATCAGAAACACAATATTAATCCAACATGAAGATATCCTAAATTCATCAGAAAGTGACAATTTCCTAAAAGATCAATTTACATAAGATATAATGCCCAATTAGGAAGATTTCCCTATGTGAAGGTAAAGGCTTTTCATGTGCGTGAAAACCAAGTGTGCACTTGGTGGATGACTGTCTTACACCTGTGCCTGAGTTATGGCTCTCCTGGTAAGCTTGGGATTTTAAAGGTGGAATTACTTGGGGCCAGCTTTCCTGGGGAGAGTTGAGCCCTGTGTTCTTTAAACCAAGAATGATCACCAAAGAGAAGTCCAGCTAATCTATGGAAAGAAATCTACTCACACCTAATAGTGGATTAAAGTTATCTTAGAAGTGAACACCAGTATAAGGGACCAGATGCGACTGCACCAAGGGTTAACAAAACATTGAAATGGAACATACTACTTTCTTGCTAAGGTTCAACTAAAATCTTTGAGGCACATAATTGGCAAAATAGGAAAATACACACAATTTCATAAACTATGTTTATCCCCTTCCTGTTTTCCCCCTTAGATATTTAGAACAGCACTAGGTAGTGCAAAGTGGAAAAAAAGTAACATCAGCTCTGTCTCTCCCAGGTAGACGGGTTTCAGCAGAACCACGAAGCACAAAAGCATCCTCTTCATCCAGCCATGGCCAACTACGACTTCTCTTTGAGCTTCAGGTCAATGCTGTAAAGGAAGGAAGGGAAACAAGACACATTTAGGATTGGTTTGGGTGACACGCGTTTGCTTTTTTCCTTAAGCACCTTACTGAAGATAAACCATGCATGTTTTTTAATACTACATAATCCTCCCCTAGTTGCCAAACTTTTCTCTAAAATTTGGATTCTGTTTGTTTTCCCAAAATTGTTTCTGGAAGCATTTTACACCTTTTCAAAATCATCCAGTGAAGAAAAGATCTTGTGCAGGCTCATTCCTGAAGTCGATTAAGAAGAGGAATCTTATGCATTGTGGAAATAAGGGATCTGTCCACTTTTGGTAAATGATCTTGTGTGTGTGTGTGAAGCAAATAAATATTCTGCCTGAAATAATGAGGCAGTGAATAATAAAATAACATCAGCAAGAATTCCCCAATATTTTGTAGGACCCAAAGGATTTGATTGAAAGGGACTATTCTACGTTAATGAATTGGGTCTTTATAACTAAAGAAGAGCTTATTTTTAAGAATTCCAGGGATTTTCCAAACCTAAGAGTACTTTAAAAAGTCTGAGGAAAATGAAATTAAATGTTAGGCTGGGGCTGGTATTGTGGTGCAGCTGTGGCTTGGGACACTTGCATCTCAGAATGCCTGAGGCTGAGCCTCACCTCTACTCTAATATTGCATCTTTTTCCCAATGAGCGTCCTAGGAGGCAGTAGGTAATGGCTCAAGTGCTTGGGTCGTTGCCACGTGGGAGACCCAGATAGAATTCCTGGCTCCTGGATTCAGTCTGGCTGCTGGCTGCTGCAGCCATTTGAGGAGTGAACCAAAGGTTAGAAAATCTCCCTCTTTCAAATAAATAAAAATAAATGAACTTCTTTTAAAAAGAGAGAGATAAGCTTATTTTGGTGCAAAAAATTTGAAATCTGTGTATAGTTTTTCCATAATACCATTTTCCTGTTACTGAATACAGAACAACTTCCTAGCACAACTACCCAAGAGGCAGAGACCTAAAAGGCAGGGAACCACCAGAGGAGGAATTTCAGTTATGAAAAGAGAAACAATTGCTTTGAAAAAGGCAATTTAGGAAGTATCTGCATTTACTTATCTCTGCCCTCCTGAGACTTCAGTCTGTGATGAAAAAGTTATTGTGCTTTACTTGTGGAATTTGAAACGGTTGAGTCTTTTCATTTAGTAGCTTTGCAAATAGGAAGGTTGCTGGCATTGACTGGCTGCCCACCTACTTGACAGCAGCAAGGGATTTTTCCTTTGGTAAATCCTCAGCAAGTCCATCTCAGTGGTGGGGTCTTGGCCAAGTCACCTGCCTTCTCAGTTTATCTTTTTGTAAAACAGAACCATCATGTCTCTCTCACAGCATGCTAGGGATTCATTTGTAAAGAATGAGCATATTGTAATGAGTGTTAGTAGTAGTAGTAGTTGAGTGTGTTTTTGGAATTGGAAAATCATTCCTTTGTTTAATTACTCAGGCATAATCTCATTTTCTCTGTGGATTTCAGAGCCTGGCCATTCTGAATGTCACATGAAGCCGCCCAGGCCATAATGAATGAAAATCTGTTTTTTAGGCCCTCAAGGATCTGACTTGCTTTCTTATCTGTGGAGTTTTACTTTGGAGGTGGCTTCTTTTTTACCACTGTGACTCCTGGGTCCTCTTTCCCAAACATCTTTTGTCTTGTTTTCACTTCTGAAAAGTATTTCCCAGCTATAGTTATGCCCAGAAGTCTGGATTAACTTTGATTTGGTGATTGGAACTCTACTCTTTTATTCTCAGATCTTTGGCTGGATTTCTCTCAAAGACCAAGAGTTTATTTGCTAAACCAAAATTTGAAGGATATTCTCCAAAAAGTGTGAATGTGGGTCAGAATACTTGTATTCATCTCATGAAGCTTAAACTGTGTGGTCACTTTGCTCCACCATTGCAGCCCCTGAGGAAAGTGAACCAACACTGACAGCAGCATGCTCACCTCCAAATACTATTTTTCATACTTTTTTGGGGGTCAGTCTTTTAGGATTTAATTCATCTCTTTAGTTTTTGGTAACCCACAGAAGGAAGACTGAAACCTATTGACCCAGTTCTCATGGAGCTAATGAAACTACTGACAATGCTATTGATTTAAGTCTTCCAAAACAGAGCCATCCCTGATAATGTGATTTTTTTTTATGTAAGTGAAAATATGAAAAAGTTGTGCTACAGGTTTTAGGATTTGAGTAGGTAAATAAAATGCAAACCTAAAAGTGAAGGAGAAGCCCCTAGGGCCATTTTTAAACACAGGATCCTTTTTGAAAAAAATACTCCTTTTAATGAGTATTGAATAGAAAAGCATTCTTCCTCATTTGGGGGCAGCTGGGTTTGGTTTTCTAGAACCAACTTGAACGTGAAACAGCAGTCTTCCCATGGTTTTCCTACCAGCCCTCTGGACTTCTCATGTGAGGTTCGTTACAGTGTGTGACATTGCAGTTTAAAGAGTGGAAACACTTGGGTATCCTGTAGGAAGCAGGAGGGGAGCCTTCCCTTCTCTCTCTGCAGCGGTGAGACCATGACAGGATCCACTCATACTCATGTTATTCTCGGTCTGATCAGGCCCCTTGAAGGTGAATCTTTGCCTGTGTTGTAGTTCACCCACTCACCACCAGCTCCTGAAGGTGTAAAGTGCTTCCATCAGAGCTCCTCACTGCCCTCGAGGGCCTGGGGTGGCCAGAGGCCTGTGGAAGCTAACAGAAATGCCCGCTTCCAATACAAAAGGAAGCCAGACAGCCAGGGCCAGAGTCAGCGATTCTCACCACTCTGGCCCCCATCCCAGATCTTGTCCTGGGTGCTGTGGCCGTGGGGTGGGGCAAGGGAAAGGAGAGGGAAGCCAGGACAAGAAGGTGCTCTTTTCAGCAGTGGGGAGGAAGAGTAACACTTTGCACCCTCCTTGCCTCCCACACACCCCACACTGGCGTTAACCCAAATGAGAAGCAATGGTTTGCCTTCTCCTCAACCCAAACAGCCCTCTAAATGAATGAGGAACACAACAGTTGAAGCAGGCCCAGGAGTGGGTAAGCCCGAAGATGTAGCAGCCACGGGTAGACCAGTGAGTGAGTGGGCTCTCAAGCCATCCATCCACACAGTGTGTGAACTCGGTACCCTTAACTGCTCCAGAGGGTGCTGCTTGGGGAAGGGAGGGAAAACTGTGCTGTATTTGCAGAGTCAGGTTTGCCTGAGGTGTTTTGGCTTTGCAGAATTTCATGTAGCAACTTTGTGTAGCAGTTGTTTGCATCTCAAAGAGGTGGGACCAGAGTGTCCTTGAGAAAAGTTCCTATGTCATTTGAAAGGTCCCTTTACAGCCTTGTGCTTTGTGCACTTTTCAGTTGGAACTTCCTTTTTGGAGTTTTCTGCCTAGGTTTCCTTTACAGTGTAAGGTCACCATGGCAACCGCAGATAGTGCCCTGGGATTTTTCCAATATCTCTTTGGATCCCCAGGAAAAGGTTGGAGATCCAAAGAGAACAAAAAGGCGACAAAAGAAATCCACTTAACTGCTTTTTGCTTCTCCTTCCTGATTCCTGGGAATACAGATAATGTTAAACTCCCCACAATGAAACCAAATTAGAAGTCCCTAGCTGGATGGTCTGGTTGTCTCAGAAAGTGTCGGTGACCACAGTTTTTCCCTGCAACTGACTTGGCCATGAACTATACTCTTTGGTGAGTGATGTTACTCTTAATTATATCATAGATGGCACAACCATTCCAGCATTGAGTCTACTTACTGCTCTGTGATATAAAAACCGTTGTCTGCACAGGTGTTAGTATAGACACTCAGGTCCCATATCCCAGTATCTGAGTTCAATGCTGGGCTCTGGCTCTTGACTCCAGGTTCCTGCTAATGCAGACCCTAGGGCTCTACCATACTTGTTGACTGAAGTAATTGAATTCCTGCTACCCATGTGAGATCTCAGTTGAGTTACCGGCATCTGGCTTTGGCCCTTTGGGGAGAGACTCAGCAGATGGGAGCTCTCACGTCTCTCTCCCTCTCTCTGCCTCTCAAATAAATAATAGTAATGATTGGCTCCAGGATGGTACAGCCAAGTTTTGAATCCCAGTGCCAGGCCATGTGTTACTTAAATATGTAAGTACTATAAAATGTTGGTCTTGGCTGGCGCCGTGGCTCAATAGGCTAATCCTCCGCCTTGCAGCGCCAGCACACTGGGTTCTAGTCCTGGTCGGGGCGCCGGATTCTGTCCCGGTTGCCCCTCTTCCAGGCCAGCTCACTGCTGTGGCCCGGGAGTGCAGTGGAGGATGGCCCAAGTGCTTGGGCCCTGCACCCGCATGGGAGACCAGGAGAAGCACCTGGCTCCTGGCTTCGGATCAGCATGATGCACCGGCCGCAGTGCGCTGGCCGCGGCGGCCATTGGAGGGTGAACCAATGGCAAAGGAAGACCTTTCTCGCTGTCTCTCTCTCTCTCACTGTCCACTCTGCCTGTCAAAAAATAAAAAAAATTAAAAAAAAAAGTTGGTCTTGTCAGATAACCTCTCTGTGCCTCTTTCCTCATTTGTAAAGCATAGTTCATGAGCTTATTGTAAGGATTAAAACCAGACACTGTGAGTTAAGCTTTTTACAGAATCTGGAATGTGATAAGGACTCAATAGTTGTCAGATTCTCATTTCTGACAAGGTGGGAATCATCCAACCACATCATTCCTGAAGTCTCATCCGGACTCCACTGTCTCCTAGAATTTGCAGACAAGGACATTTTCTCCCCTAATCACCAAAAATTAAGTTCAAATGGAAGTTCCAACTTTCACTAATTAAAATGGATGATGTAATTCAGAAAGCAGCGCTGCATTTCTCTCACCCAAATGTTCTTACATCTGGCACAAATATTCATTTTCCACTTGTTTTGGGTTTGGAAAAACCTAATGCTATGTAAAGATCTGGGTTGTCCCGAGTGGTGATGATGATGTTAAGATGGCAAACTTTTATTTAAGTTTCTAATTTCAAGAATAGAGCACATGAAAGCTGAACATCTAAACAGAGTTTACCCAATCCTCAATGAATCTTTCTCTTTCAGAGCCCAGCCATACAACACTACAAGTAAAACCACATAGCAGTTATGAATGGTGAAGTCTTACTCCTTCTCCATAGAAGACATTTCTGGATCATTGTAAAGGCAGCTAGTTCTGAGTGCAAGAAAAAAATAGGAAGCAGTCATCATTTTCTCCATTATCAACAACTCTGTTAGCACAACATATTGGGGGCATTTGGAGCTGTTTAACATGCTCCCATTTCCAATACAGGACAAATCCACACCTGAACAGAAGATGATAGAACTCAGTTGTGATTCTTAGAGCACATGTTTAAAATGTAGTAATTATCCATGGTTTAGAAACAAAAAAGGAAGATTAAAAGCTCCAGAAACCTCTGGTAGTCTCCTCTGTCCTTGTCATTTTTTTCCTGACTTTTCAAGTTATCTTATTCAGAGAATATAAAGTTTCAAATTATATATGTACCCCAAATAATCAAATCTCTACACAAAAGGGAAAATTATGTGTGTACCCCAATTAATAAGATACTCTACACAAAATGGAAAATCTTTTCTTTAGCAGCCTAGTTTTCTTTACACATGAACACAGTTAACTTTCCATTTTCACAAGAATGAGGATTTTCCAAGACACTACAAGAAAAAAAAAATGCCAGTGTCAGTCTTCCATCTTGTGGTAACAGGAAAATCAAAGGACTCTTGGCAGTCTCAATAGCAGAGCTGTGTTCAGGTAGAATCCATGAATCCAGCACTGAACTAAACTGTCTATGTCCAGGAAGAAAAATATGACCATATAAAATAATGAAATAAAAGGTTTTTGATGGTGTTTGCATAAGATGAGGTTTTCATCTAAGCTGAGGCATTTCTGATATTCTGTATTGGTGTGATTCCTCTTTTTAGAAAATTTCACACTTTTTTATTAATTCCTGATTAATACTTAATATATCTCAACTTTTATTTTTTTTCCTTAGTAAACATTCTATTATTGGCAAGTAAACACTATTTAAAGGGATTCTATGGATCTTTTTAAATGTCTAAGTTCCTTTTGTAGTGTGAATGATTTAGCAAGCTAATTTACCTGTTTGTACATAGGTAGTTTGTTGAAAATGGCAGAAGTCTTTCATCCCAGGCAGGACAGCACCACCCCCACCTCACTCCTCACCATTCTTCCTGGTGGTTGGGTACTTTTATGGGGAATATTTGGCAACTTGAGTGAACAAGATAGTCAAAGAAGTGGTGACTGTGTGCTAGGAAAACCTAGCAAAGCTGGAATGGGACCAAGCAAAGGCAATCTTCCAAACCCAGCTTTCCTGCTTTTTAATATTGAGTAATCCCTCCAAAGAAAACAGCAATTTGCAAGCCATTGAATAGCATCCCTCCAAAGGCAGTACATGGATTCGTCTCCATTTTCAAAATAAGAATGGTTCTATGTACACTCTTTATCCTTGAAAGTATTTTCTTTCCTGCATGAATCTAAGATTTTAAAGAAATAATAAGTCAGGTTGTGCAGATCACCTCCTAAAGGTCCATCAGAGGTCAGATGCCAAGTGAGTGGGTGTGTGTGTATCTGAGCAGAAGGGGGAAATCAAGCAAAACAATAGGATAGACAGGTTTGCTCCCTGACAAAATATGCAAGGGACTTCAAAAATTCATGGGAAAATGGAATTAAAATTTTGGTGCAAAAATTTTTTGAAATCCAAGCATAGTTTCCTCATGCATCTTACATGAACTTTTCTTAAAAAAGATTTATTTACTTATTTGAAAGACAGAGTTACAGAGATGGGGAGGGAGAAAGAGAGAGAGAGATATCTTCTATCAATTGGTTGGTTCACTCCCCAAGTGGCTGCAACTGGCCAAAGCCAGGAGCCTGGAACTCCCTCTAAGTCTCCTATGGGGGTGGCAGGGGCCCAGGTACATAGGCCATTTTCCACTGCTTTCCCAGGCACACTAGCAGGGAGCTGGATCAGGTATTAGAACCAGGGCTAAGGACGGCGCTGCAGCTCAATAGCCTAATCCTCCTCCTTGCGGCGCCGGCACACCGGGTTCTAGTCCCTGTCAGGGCAATGGATTCTGTCCTGGTAGCACCTCTTCCAGGCCAGCTCTCTGCTGTGGCCAGGGAGTGCAGTGGAGGATGGCCCAAGTGCTTGGGCCCTGCACCCCATGGGAGACCAGGAGAAGCACTTTGCTCCTGCCTTCGGATTGGCGCAGTGCGCCGGCCACAGCGCGCTGGCCGCGGCGGCCATTGGAGGGTGAACCAATGGCAAAGGAAGACCTTTCTCTTTGTCTCTCTCTCTCATTGTCCACTCTGCCTGTCAAAACAAACAAACAAACAAACAAACAAAAAAACAAAACAAAACAAAACAAAAACAAAACAGGGCTCATATGGGATGCTGGCATTGCAGGTGGTGGATTAACCCACTCTGCCACAACACCAGACCCTAACATGAACTTTCTGAAGATCCTTTAAATACATGGGTTTCAAAAAATTTTTTGCACCAAAATAAATTTATCTATTAATTCCACCTTCCAAGAACTTTTTGAACTTTCCTCGTGTATTTGACTTTGGTTAGACCCAGCCTAAAGCTTTGTAATTAAGTGGAAATTCAGGGCTCATCTGTGAAGAGAAAGAACCTGGGGAATATTTAGCCTCTAGCCACAGGTTTGCAGTAATTACATTTTCTGAGTCAGAAATCATCCTTTCGTCTGTCCTAAGACTCAGGGGCCACTACAGTGGCTGAGAGGTAGTTGAGAAGATTTAGTGGGCATGCCACAGCGGTGGGATTCTGGGGCGTTCTTATCATCTGTGAGGTCGAGAGCAGAATTCTCTCTCCTTCCATGCTTCCAAATGTGCAGATGTATTTTAATCCCTTAGATATGTGATGTCACCATCAAAAGAAACAAGCATTCTTCAGGCAAATAGTTTACACGCTGGATTCAAAGCAAGATGGTATACTCCTAAGATCAATCTATTTCTTTTTATTTAGCCCTTTACTTGAAAGCAGAAGTTTTCAAAGCACAGACCTGAGATGGGTATCAGAGCTTCACCAGGAATTTGTTAGAAATGCAGATTTTCCAGTCCCACCCCAGATCTACTGAAATAGAGTCTTTGGGGTGAAGCGCAGGATAACAAGCGGTGCACAGTAAAGTGTGAGAACTGCCGCTCCACAGTAATGAACGTGTCCCTGCAGAACGAGTTATTTTACACCGAGAGCCACTCAGTCTCTACTGTGTGCTGGGCATGAGCGGCGTGGGTCCTTTAGAAAGAAAACCAAGACTTCTCAGGGACAAGGGAAGAAAACAAAATGAGGAATGGGAGAGAAAAAATCTAAACTTACACAACTAAACCAAAAAACAACTACTTCACTACCATAGCTAAGTGGGAAGTGTATAAATATTAAAGGAAATAAATCTATCAAAGGAGGCAAGATTTCATGGTAGGACAATTTGGACAAAAAAACCAAATAGGATATCATGATTTCATGGTGGGTTTGGCTGTAAAATTATTGGTGTCCTCTCCCTTCGCCTTTTATCTTGAAAATAACTGTTTAATTCCATTAGTATGTTATCATCCTAGAAAAGTAAATCTGAAAGAGAAACTCACTGAGGTGTCTCTCTGGGGAAATTCATGCACAAGTCAATTTGAAAATAGATCAATGTTAACAGGATACGCTACACCCATACTTAGTTCTTTGATCCCTAATATTTTCCTTACTTACCCAACTGCTTATTTATAACAAATGAGGTAGACACTATGAAGGTACAGTTAGAATAAAAAAATTACATAATATTGAATTCTCTTTGTGTAAATGCATGATAGTTATCTTGAAATGAAATTATAGGACAGGGATATTAAGGCAATTAACTACAATAATGCTAAGTTTTCAAAGCAAAAACTTTCCCTTTCATTTTAAACAAAAAATATCCACATTAGGAGCATAGAATTGTGGGCAACTCGGAATAAAAAATGTCTAAATGGATTGTTTTAATGAGAAACTGGCATTTACAAATATGCATAAGTACTTCGTTATTTAGTCAGATTTGTAGGATTTCTGCTTTTGCAGTATCTATTAAAATGAGAGTTGGCAATAAAAATGTACAGCCTAAGCAACATTTGAAATGGGGTAGGAGTCAATGTACTTAATCCAGCAAACTTTCCAAGTAGTATTTGCCTACATTTTACATATGGTGTCAGAAAATTTCTTTGTAACTTGGAAAGCAGGAAAGGCAATGATTGGCTACTCATTGAGAGCAGTGCTGGGCTGATTTCCTATTGGCTGGACTATTTTACTACTCGGTAGGGGCATAGTACTAAACAATTTCTGCCCAGTAGAAAAGATATCCCCAATGCTACATTTTATTGTGCTCTTGGGCATTAATCAGTTTTATACCTAATTCAACCATCTTAACCAAACATTCTTTTATAGATTGCCTATTTAATAGTCCCTCCTTACCCATGATTTTGCCTTCCATGGTTTCAGTGACTTGCAGCCAACAACCATGTTCCAAAAATATGAAATGGAAAATTATATAAATAAATAATTCAAAGGTTTTAAACAACTTTTAGTGTAGTGTATTGTTGTAATTGTTCTATTTTATTATTAGATACTGTTAATTTCATAGTGCTAAATTTATAAATTAAATGTTATTATGGTATGAATGTATAGGGAAAAAATTGTATTTATAAGGTTTGCTTCTAGCTGTAGTTTCAGGCATCCCAGGAACATATTGGAACACATCTTGCACAGGTCAGAGGGAATACTATAGATTTCTAGCTTCTCAAATGCTCTCTGAACTAGGTCCTCCATTTAATAATTAGTTGAGTAAAATTATTGGTATTCATTTTATACTTGCCTTTTTGAAAAGTCATACAATAGTGAACAATGACTCTTTCCTAGTCATCAAAATAGTTCAGGGGCTATTAGTTAAGTGATATTTCCAAGTCACTAAATAAGTGTTGTTTTTTAAATCCTGAAAAGGCATTAAACTGATTCTATAAAAATCTCCATAAATGTTGACTTGCTATCCTTTCACCCTGTTGGTGTGAATTAGTGAGGATCTATGGTTTTGGTGTAGGTAATGATCACCTGATATTACATTCAATATGGCAATACCTGTGATATGTTTATACTGTGATGCATGTACATTAAAAAAATTAAACAGTGAAAAAGGCATTCCCTAAGATAACCAAGATTATGGGGGGAAATGGAGCAAGATTAACAAAGATGGCACCAATTGTGGGCTACTTTACAAATCTGTAGGAGCAGATATTAACCTGTAGATTTTTATCCAGCAAAATTTTCAAGAAATTTTTAGAAAGGAATATTATTATCAAGATGCAAGAATAAGACACCAGGCATGCAGATTCTCTCAATTCATTCCTGAATGCAAGCCAACGTCACGCCAGCTGCTAAATGAAAACCAGGTCTTACTTAGCTGCTTCTGATGCTTCCCTCAGTTCTTCATCCAGTCTGCATGAGCAAAAATTATCGGCGTAGAAAAGAAACAAAAAAGAAGCAAGCAGAGCATGAGAGTCACTCAGCAAAGCAGAGCCAAACATAAGTGCTGGGATACGCTTTTAAAAACCGTCCTCTGGAGCACCAAGACTCACTCAAATGTGGCGTCATGTCCTCCCATTCAGTGTTCATGTACATTTACTTTGCAAATTCCTTTGTAAAGCTAGGTATACAAGTTGCAACATGCTGTCTGAATAAAGCTGAAAACATCCACATCCGTGTGTTGGGTACAGTTAAAGTTAGCTTGCAGCCTGGGCCAGGTCAGGGCTGGATCTGGTTTAGTAGGTTCAGTTGCAAATCAGGTTGACCTCAACAGCTTTACACACAGGACAAAGACTGGAAAGGGCATACAAGGGACAGACACAAGAACCTCGGGCTCTGGTAGCATGTTGAGGTCACCCCCGAGTAAATCACTGGTGGACACACACAGAGAGGCCAGCGTGAATTGTAGACCAGATTTTACCTCACACTTCTCTTATACGATCTCTCTTCATCGTACCTTATGAGATAAAAGACGCACACCATAAAGAAAATGAGCAAACAGAAGGGGAAAAAACAACACATAAATGTTTTATACAATGGTCAAAACTTAAAAGACCTATCCAAATAGTACATGGGCATTTGGGAGAAATCTAACTTTCATTTGATAATAATCAATAATTTATAAATATATACAGTCAATTCTCATTATTTGCACATTCTGTGTTTGCAAATTTGCCTGCCACGGTTTGATCCTCAGATTTGGAGCATAAGAACTACAAGCCAGAACAAACCTCCTAACCTACCCCGTCTGTGGTATTGTGTTATTAACAATGGAAAGTGAACTAGACATTACCTGTTCACTAAAATATATTTATAACCGCAAAACCTTTTTGGGTCACATGTGGACATGTGCAGGGTGGTGAAAATCTGAGTTGCTTTTCTCATTGTTGTACTTTTTGTTGCTGATTCTGCTGCTTGAACTGTCCCTTAGCATAGTGTTGGAGTGCTGTGTAGTATTCCTAAGCACAAGAAAACAGATGTGCCTTACAGAGAAACACTTATGTTAGATAAGCTTATTTTAGGGACAACTTACAGTGAAGTTGTCTGTGAGATCAATGTTAATGAATGAACAATCTATACTAAGGAAGGTGCCCTCAAACAGAAACACATGTCAAACAAGGTGATGTACTGATCAGTTGATGAACATGTGACCACAGCTTCCTCTAGAAATAACAGTTCAGTATTTGCTAATGAAGTGTTTGCAGCGACTTTATAAAAAAATAACTGCCACAAATAATGAGAATCAACTGAAATCAATGACTATAAATCTGATTCCAGGTTGGGCAAATTTTTCTTTTGTTGAAGCCCTTTGATGACAGGCTCCATCCCACCTGAATATGGTTTTGAGCTTGGCCAAGACCAGATACTTTGAATGTTAGTAATAAAAAGAAATTATGGCTTCTATCAATTAGAAAATTACATTATGTGGAAATAAGACAATGCAAGCCAGTAATGGAGAGGGTGTCCAAGGAAACAGATTAGTAAGACAGAAGAAAACACACACAAAGTGCTCAATTTCTTCCTCCAGAAGAATATTTTTGCAAATGGAATACTTTCTGCTGAAGTGAATTTTCCCAACCAGAGCCTTTGAAAACTGACGTGTGTAGATGCGTGAGAAGTGGCCTGGGCTTGTTTAAGTTCTCACTGAAACTTCCTGTATTATGGTGAGCCTCTCAAAACAATGACTATACTGCAGAACATTGTGGATTGCCAACTCTGTGCTGGCAGCTTCCGGACGCTTTGTGGATATTATTCTCATTCTATCCTCCGGATCATTCTGGGAAGTGTGATTTACTTCCTCATTTTACAGATGCTGAAGCTGAGACTCAGAGGATTTGAATAGGTGGTTTGAAACCTCAGAGACATTGTGAGATGGTAGGGAAGACTCAACTCGAAGCTTCTGGAGCCCAAGCTTTTTCCACTCTGTTGCTTGTAACTGCTACACCATGGAAGCATCACCATATTTATCAGGAAAGCGGCTGATGCTCATTTCCACTGGAGCAGAGAATGGCCTTGTCATCTCTTACAGAAGGACAGAGAGCATAGAAGAGGTAAGTGGCTAGTACTTTTTCAATTTCAGGAGTAGAAGTGGGGGCGGCGCTGTGGTGTAGCAGGTAAAGCCACTGCCTACAGTGCCAGCATCCCATATGGACGCCGGTTCGAGACCCGGCTGTTCCACTTCCCATCCAGCTCTCTGCTGTGGCCTGGGAAAGCAGTAGAAAGCCCAAGTGCTTCGGCCCCTGCACCCGCATGGGAGACCGGGAGGAAGCTCCTGGCTCCTGACTTCGGATCAGTGCAGCTTAGCTCTGGCAGCTGTGTCCAACTGGGGAATGAACCAGCAGATGAAAGACCTCTGTCTCTCTCTGCCTCTCCTTCTCTCTCTGTGTAACTGACTTATAAATAAATCAATCTTTTAAAAAAAAGACTTCTTAAAAAAATAAAAGAGAAAAAAAAAGAAAAAGGGTAGAAGTGGAGTTTGGAGACAGAGTGCACAATTTTGAGGCAGCAGGCCAGAGCTGTGAGGTGTGCCGGTGGTGGGAACTCTATGAAGCTATAAGCCTGTTGGGGTCATTAGCAGTTAGGATCTTATGAAGTCTCTGCTTGATTCAGTGGAACTCAATGGGCACTGTGTGTCCATTTAGTATCCTGTGTTCATGCCTCATACTGGGATGCAGGAAAACCAAATGTTCCTGTTCTGGAGCCTTGACTTTAGTTGCACACTTTGACGGGGGTAAAGAGCATGGCCGTTTCAGTGCCAGATTGACCTGGATCTGATTCCAGTTTCATCTCTTCCTGTTTTACAACCTGCACTTTGCAAAGTAACTTCTTACAAAGTTATCTTCCCTGCATCTGTAAAGTGGGGGTTTATTATGGAGAGCAAAATAAATAGCATAAATAGAGCATCTCTACGCCCAGCTCATCTCAGACACATTAAATACAAATCCTTGCCTTTGAGTTTCTGTGCCTTTCTTTAAAAAAAAATTTTAAGTGAGGGAATTCTTTTGTGGAATCCCAAATTGGGAGGTCCATTTTGCTGATCATCTTATGGAGGAAGATTGGCCACACTTGTCCGTTCTTTGAAGTGATGGCAAATTTTTTTTAAATAATCATATATAAAACTAGTGAATCTGACCCAGTGGAAGAGAAAACAGGACAGAAAGCAGTGGTTCTGTGCAAAACATACCAGTGTTCCTGTTGCAAAACCCCAGCTCTACATACTTGCTTAGTTGACATTGACTCTTATCTCTTATTTTTGCAGCATAATGCTGAGACTTCAGTATCTATGCTTTCCCCTTACAGGCCAGGGCCCAACCATCCCACCCACCACTGGGGAAACAACCACCTGATCTTGCATCTAAAGGAAATCATGGGGAAAAAAAGGTTTAGAAAAAAAAACAAACAAAGCATCCTATTTCTATCTTCCTGGGGTTATGCAGATGAATTACTTTAGGAAAGACAATAAAGACATCCAAACTACCCTAGCCCCTTACTGTGTCTGTGCCAAGTAGGGGACAGGATGTTATATTTATGCCTTCTCCAAAGTGGACATATAATTCAAAGTAAAAATGAATAATAACCAATAATTTCTAGAAGGCTGTGTGAAAGAGGCTCTAAAAGAATAGATAGCTGCAGCTTATAGGAAAAAAATACACATTTATTGGAGAATATTTAGTATTTCTCTTAAAAATAAGGTGTTATTTTCCCCACTATTCCAGAGGTGAGTTCTTCTCCAACCCCCTCTCCAAGCACATACTGTTTCTCAACAAATCCTCAAAACCATCATACTTACTTGACGATGCTCTCTGGAATGTGGATGCAATCCATTGGTATCAGCCCGCTGAGTTCTGATAAGCTACTAACATATTTAATTTTACTGCTAAATTTTGAACTAGGGAAAAAAAAGAAATCATTAGTTGTAAAGTCACCATTGACTCTTGATAATCCTGATATACTTAATACCATGTCACAGCATTCTTACTAAGAAGAAAGGTTATCATTATTTGAGTTCTTACTGCTGCTATTGTTTTACTTATTTATTTTAAATTGACAAATAAAATTGTGCATATTTATCATGTACAACATGACATTTCAAAATATGTATGTATTATTGAGTGGCTAAGTTGAGATATTTAACATATGCATTACTTCCTATACTTGTTATTTTTGTAGCATCTAACCCAGTGCACGGCACAAATAACTTGCTTTTTAAAATGAATTCACCATATGTCTCTGCATATACCTTACTCTTTAGCAGCAAAAATAATATAATGAAGTTCAGTGATCTCTTTTTTTCAGGCCTAAAACTTGATAACAGTGAGGTAAAATTGATTCAAAAGGGGAATCTTTACAGAAGATTTTTCCAGGATGAAATTGTCAGACACGATGGTTATATGCTTGACATTCATGTCCTTTAGAACTCGGCAGACAATTGAGTTCAGAGTCTGTGTTATCCTACACTGGAGCCAGCTTGCTGCTGATTTTAAGTTTTAATGTCTTTAGCTGAGGATTGTTTCTCTGGTTTTTAAATATTAAAAAAGTCAAGAATATTTTGTGACATGTGAAACTATAAGAGATGCTATTTCAACGTTCACAAACAAAATTTCATGAGAACACATCACTTATTGATTTATATATTGTCTATGACTGCTTTTGTTCTACCATGGCGGAACTGTGTACTTGTGATTAAGATCATATGGTCAGTGAATCCTAAAATATTTACTGTTTGATCCTTTACAGTTGATGTTTGCTGGTACCTGCTTTAGATAATTTATATGACCTCCTTGAGCCTCGGGGTTCCTTCCACGTGATGCAAACAGTAACTATTATCTCCTTCAGTGGACTATCCTTTAGCATTAAATGAGATAATATATGTAAGCACCCACTCAATGCAAGTCACTATTATATACCATTTACCAAAAACACTATTGTTGCAATGTCATATTAGTAATGTCATTGTTATTAGGTAAAAACTCCTTTCAACAGTGCTGAAGTATAATCAATATTCAATATTGTAACAAATATTATCTATCAAGAAAAATCATATATGTTTTCTAATTATGAGCTGAACTATTAAACAAATATCCATGAATCAGTAACAGTAGTGTTCTTTATGAAGATTTACTTTGAAAGCAGAGCAACACAGAGATGGGGAGAGACAGAGAGGTCTTTCATCTGTTGGTTCACTCCCCAAGTAGCGGCAACAGCCAGGGCTGGGCCAGGATCCAGGAACTCCACCCATGTTTCCCATGTATGTGGTAGGGGCAAAAATACTTGGGTCATCATTCACTGCCTTCCCAGGTGCATTGGCAGGGAGCTGGATTGGAAGTGTAATAGTTGGCACATTCTCAGTGCAGGTGTCACAATACCAGCCTCACCTGATGTACCACAATGCAGGTCCCTGATATTTACCTTTTTACCCACTAAACTTCTTATACACTTAACAATGTACATCTATTATTTTCTGAATTTATTTATTCATAAGTCAGAATTACAGAGAGAGAGAGGGTGTGTTATCTTCCATCTGCTGGTTCACTCCCCAAATGGCCATGATGGCCAGGACTGGGCCAGGCTGAAGCCAGAGGCAGGAGTTTCTTCCTGGTGTCCCATGTGGATACAGGGGCCCAAGCACCTGGCCATCCTCTGCTGCTTTCCCAGGCACAGTAGAGGGAGCCGGATCAGAAGCAGAGCAGCTGGGACTTGAACAGGTATCCATATGAGGTGCTGGCGCCTCAGATGGCGACCTACCCTGCTGCACCACAGCACTGCCCCCTGTACATCTATTCTTATTTTCTTTTTAAAGAATTTACTGCAGTTATTAAAATAAGTGGGGTTTTGCATGCCTTAAATAGTTAATTTGTGAAACATTGTTTGAAAGGGAGAGAGAGAGAGAGAGAGAGAGAGGGAGAAAGTTCCCATCTTCTGGTTTATGTGGGTGCCGGGGACCAAAGTAGCTGAGCCATGACCACTGCCTCCAGGGATCTGTATTGGCAGGAAGCTGGAGTTAGGAGCTGGACCAGGTTCCCTGACATGGAGCATGAGCATCTTAACCCATATCTGAACTGCTGGGCTAAATGCCTGCCTCCACAATATTTTGAAAAGCAATTTAATCTAGTAGAGTAAACAGCTAACCTCTGGCAGAGTAAAGCAGGCTCAATTCTGCTACTCAATATGCTAGATTTTTTTACATCTATGTAAAAAAAATAAAGGATTTTAATGTTCAATTTTTTATCTGAAAGCAATCAGAATTTTTATTAGGAATTCATTAAAAACTTTTTAAAAGAACTATTTACTTATTTATTTGAAAGGCAGAGACAGAGAGGAGACAGACAGACAGACAGACAGACATAAAGAGATCTCCCATCTTCTGGTTCACTCCCCAAATGCTCACAACAACCAGGGCTGGGCCAGGCTGAAGCCAGGAGCCCAGAACTCAAACTGGGTCTATTATGGAGGTGGCAGGGACAAAAGTATTCGAGTCATCACCTGCTGTCTCCCAGGGTGCACGTTAGCTGAAAGCTGGAATTGGGAGCAGAGCTGGAACGCCAACCCAGGCACTGCAACATGGAATACTAGGCAGTGTCCTAATGGCTGTGCCAACATGGAATGCAGGATTCCTAAGAGGTATCCTAACGGCTGTGCCAAACTCCCATCTCATTCATAATTTCAGGGCAGGAAATTTTCAATGTAGGTAGTCTGTATCTTGATGGTTGGCACACTTTGTTCTATTTTTAATGTTTCCTAGGAAATACTGACTCTTTCATGTAACTATCTCATCTTACTATACTATAAGCTGTATATTAGTTTTCTTTGCATCTCCTGAAGGCAGGTTATATAACACCTAACAAAATAAGTGGTGCATACATATTCACCAACTTGAAACCAAGGATCCTCAGGGCATCAAAACACATCCCTCAAAATGACTGTTTTTCTAACTTTGGTGACTACAGTATATTTGTACAGAAGTTGGTTAATTTGTAACAATTAACACAAGGATGGCTCCTGTTTTTCTCCTTGAGTAATACTTATTTTCCATTGTCACATAACCATACTTTTCTATTCTCTATAAAATAACTCATTACTCTGAAAGTATTGAATAGTCCCTTTTCTCAGGTGACATAGGAATCTCAGCACTTCATCTTCCATATTTATAGCAGCAATTTAAAGGTCATGTTTTATACTGATTGGGAGGAAATATTCACTATGAAATGATTCTCTTAATTAGAGACTCTTGATGGATACAGTCCAAAATATCTTTCTAGGAAAGGCAGAGGCAAAAAAAATATTTTCCTGGATGTTCTTGGTTCATGAATTCTTGTCTACAGAACAAGGAATACATGTTTTTAGAAACTACTAGTACACTTTTATTATAATGATAGCCATACCTTATAAATGGTCGTGTCACAGCAAGGATTGTTCTGATGAACCAAGATGGATGAACAATAATGAATGATTTCAAATTCTTCCGTAATCTATTTGAAAAACAAAAACATTATATGTTACTCTTAACCCATTTTCAATGGGAATTAAAGCTGAAAATAAATACCCTCATAAGAATATGTAATTGGGGGGAGTTGTAGGCAAGAGAAAGCCATAGAATGGCTATGATTAACAAAAAGAAAGCTCTTTGAGACATAATTTGAAATAATTTCAATCTTCATTCTCCCACAGGAATGAATATAAAATAAAAAGGTGATAATCTTGCAGTACATGCATCTCTAACTGTCATGGCATATTTTTGTTTAATTTTTTTTTTTTTTTTTTTTGACAGGCAGAGTGGACAGTGAGAGAGAGAGACAGAGAGAAAGGTCTTCCTTTTGCCGTTGGTTCACCCTCCAACGGCCGCCGCGGCCGGTGCACCGCGCTGATCCCATGGCAGGAGCCAGGTACTTATCCTGGTCTCCCATGGGGTGCAGGGCCCAAGTACTTGGGCCATCCTCCACTGCACTCCCTGGCCACAGCAGAGAGCTGGCCTGGAAGAGGGGCAACCAGAAAAGAATTCCGGCGCCCCGACCGGGACTAGAACCCGGTATGCCGGCGCCGCAAGGCAGAGGATTAGCTTAGTGAGCCGTGGCGCCGGCCTTAATGTTTTTCATTTTCATGAGCATTGCCTTCACTATTTTAAGAAGAATATCTTCTTAATAGCAACTCAGTTTATCTGATCTTGCTGAGCCTTGTTTTCTTCTCCTGTACAATGAAAATAGCAGGGGCCGGCATTGTGGCACAGCAGTTAAAACTGCTGCCTGCAATGCTGACATCCCATATGGGCACCGGTTTGAGTCCCAGCTGCTCTAGTTCTGATCCAGCTCCCTGTGAATGGCCTGGGAAAAGCAGCAGAAGGTGGGCCAAGTACTTGGCCTCCCATGTAGGAGACGTGGATGAAGCTCCTGGCTCCTGGCTTCTGCTTGGCACAGGCTCTGGCTGTTGTGGCTATTTGGGGAGTGAACCAGCAGTTGGAAGATACCTCTTTCTGTCTTTCCTTCTCTCTCTATAACTCTGCCTTCCAAATAAATAAGAAAAAAATCATTTAAAAATAATGAAAATAGTAACAGTATATCATGTGGTTGTCTGGCCTTTGGCTTAGCGCTTTAACAATTCTTGATGTTCAGGTATATTTTTCAGCATTAGCAATGTTATTTTATAAATTTTGGACTATAAAATCTATCTTCATTAATGTAATGAGACAATCACATGTTTTTGTGCAAGGAGATCCTCCTATGGGGATCCAACACATAGCACAGATATCATCAATTTACATGCTTATTAAGTGTTTTGTTTTAATAAAATCAAAATTGATGGAAGTAAAGTATACTGAGGAAGGGGCACACAAAGGCACAGTATGGGCTAGCAGGTAATTTGAATTGACAATGAATGTTGAAATAAAAGCACAACGGTCTATCATATGACAATAGTTTCAGTGCACATGACAAACAAGGCCACATGATACCATTAAAGAGACATGGGTAGTTTGATTGATTAGCTCAATTTGTACAACAGCAATTTGTGGCAACAGCACAAGCACAGTTTAAAACAGGCTTGGGTGAGCAAGTGTTTGGCACAGCAGTTATGATGCCACCTGGGATGCCTGTATCCTGTATCAAAATATCTGAGTTCAGGAACCTGCTCTGTTCTTGATTCCAGTGTCTAGTTGCTGTGTGTCCTGGAAGGCAGCAGGTGGTGGCTCAGACACTTGAGTCCCTGACACCCACATGGGAAACCAGGATTGAGTGTCTGACTGTTGACTTTGACTTGGTCTCGCAGTGGCTTTTTTAGGTATCTGGGAAGCCTAAAGGAGTGCATTTTTTTCCTCTCTCTCTCTCTCTCCTCTCTATTTCTGTGTCTCTCTGCCTTCCAAACAAATAAAGTAAAAAATTTTTAAAAAGAGATTTGGCCTGCTAGGTTTGAGATTACATTCAGCAAAAATATGGGCAACATTTGTTTTATTTCAACTTTGGGTCATCCAGTGAGACTTTTTAAAATTAATATTTCTATAATTCCTTGTTTCAAATATGCTGACCTGCTAAAATGTGATTGTATTTATGATAGTCTAAAAGTGAATTACATATTGAGTAAGTCAAATAGTGATTAAATAAGAGAGCTACATACCGTCTGTCAATCATCTGGTAGCATTTCTTCATCCAGCCCAGCCCCGGCATCTTCCGTCTTGGGGTTGCACCGTTTAAGTACACAATCATATAGTCCTCAGCCACCATCAGTTCTAAGGTGCTTATTACGTATCTGATCACAGGAAGGAAGAGGAGTGTTTTCAGTTCTCACATGAAACATTTTATTCTATTTACACTGTAATTACTTATCATTTAAATTATAGAGTCTATGACATTGAAGAATGGTTGTATCCATTATCTCTTTACCTTGAGGAAAAATGTAGTTACCCAAGATCATTTTCTCTGAGAGTGAGTATTGTTCACTTACTTGTATGTTTTTTTTTTAATCAACTGCACTAGAAAAACATATGGATTAGAAACCTGACTTTCAGAATTGTTAACAATGTTATCAAAACTAAAGGGCAACTCAGGCAAACAAAGGCGGATATAAATGGAGTCAGGTTATCATCAGTTGACCAAACACATGTTATTGGGGAAGAAAATAACACTTCAACCACAGGAAATGTTATAGGATTTTAAAATGCAGGTCAAACTCAATTCATTTTTGTTTTCAATCTGAGCAAAAGGACAAAAGAGCTCTTTGAAAGATTTTAGCCTCCTGAGCAATGCTCCCTGATAGAAATCTTAGTGACTTTTTATCAAAGGCTTAGAATATTCTACATCACCCATTCCCTTTAATTAAAGATGCTCTATCTGCCAGTACATGCCACAGACATTAACTCAAAGCACTTTGTCATAAATGTCACTCACAGGAAAAGATTTTCCATGACATAGTGGTAATCCGCCCGACTGCTGTCTGGCAGAAAACAGGCGGCAAACACAATGATGGCATTTAGACCGTCCCCATAGTATCCTGGGGACAGACAAAAAGACATTTGTAACCAGTTGAAAGCTCTTAACAAAACAATATCTAACCTAAAGGATAAATGTGAAGCCTTGATAAGTGAGTGTATGTGGATATAATATACATAGCGTGAAGTGAGTATAATAGCAAGTATTATTCCATAAGTATATATATAATTATCACTTAGCGGTTAACATATATGTCATATAGGTTCTTAAATACAGCGAGTGAATATGCTTGCAAATATGGGCAATGCATATCCATATTATGGGAGATTATATGAGTTGTACATATAATGTATTTAGGTTGAATTATTTATATAAGGTGAACATATTTCATGTATTTCATATACACAAATTTAAGAGCACATAATATGTATATAATGTGTACAATAATGTATATAATTGTTAATGGGTTGTATAAATATTCAATTTATCACAGAATGATCAGCAATACATTTTTCTTAAAAGAGAGATAATTTATGTAATACTTCTTTCTTCTGATGGCTAGAGAAGAGCTTCGGCTTAACTGTCTTTGGTCCTTTGTAGTTTAGACCCCAGTGGATTTGAAGGGAGAATGTAGGCATTGAACCGCAATTTAACTCAGACCCAGACTCTCCAGTGGCCACTAGTGAGTAGCTGAGTAAAACACATTTACCTTGATTTTTCTGCCAGTCACTTGCCTTGAGCGCCCATGGGTGCTACTGCGCCAGACTCAACAGAATGTAGATGCTCATGGGAAGTCCTAGCCATGCCCAGAATAACTTAGCGTGGAATTCAGAGCCTTGCCTCTTAAAGAAAGAGGCAAGCTAAATAAGGACCTGGTTAAATTCTCTTTGAGTTTTATGAAAATACATGTTTTGGGAAAATTTTGAGAATTACTTCCAGGTAACATGGGGTGGGGGTGGAAGTGCTATTTGCAGGTGGTGTTAAGAAAACAGGAAGTAGAAAATGCAAATAAGTGTGACCATGACAACGCCAAAGATCAAGGAAAATGTGGATATAAGGGACTTCAAGAAGTTCATGGAAAACAGAATTAGGAGACAAGTTTATTTTGGTGCAAAAAAATTGAAGTCCATATGTAGTTTTTCGAAAATGCACATTTTCCATGAACTTTTCAAAGACTCCTTGTATGTCTCAGGATGTTATTCTCCTTTTTGAAAATGAAGACATAAATTTGGAACCATCCCATCTTTAAACAAACTCTATGTTCCCTTTGAGCTCATCTTTGAAATTCATGGCAGATGTTGGTTAAATCCCAGCAGGTAGACATATGGAATGCATTGTATCTTCCATGTTTAAGAAATGTCCTATATTTTTATTTTTTTAGTATCCCTGCTTAAACACTTACAATCTGTGGCTATAGTTCTTGATTTTTGAGTCGCTAAATAGAGATCTTCTAAATGCTTTGAGTAAGTAGGAGGACAGGATATACCCTTAAGGCTGATCCAGTTCTCCCAGAAATCAGTGTGTTTCAATTTTTCCCAGAACTCTAAATACCCCTCTGGTGATTACAAAGCAGAAAAATACCAGTTGTATATATATTTGGATAGGGTGAACTCCTGAAAAACAGTTTAATAAGATGTTCTCTACAAAGATTCCAAGAATGACTATACCGCAAAGAAAAAAAAAAAGGTGGAGGAGTAGAATGATACCAACTAAAAATACTGTTACAGGTTTGTGTGCATTACAAACTTGAGGTTGTTGCTTATGGTATGTCTACTCACATATTTAATAGGAGGCTACCTGTGTAACTATACAGCTAATGCAACATGTGTTTGTGAGAGGGCATTTTAGTAGTTTCCACCTGGATTTTTTTTGCTTTAGTTCCATCTTTTCCAACATGTAGGTACTTATCAACTTGCTTTGAGAATGAAATGTGAAGGAAAATGGCAGAAGGAGATAATTTTAACACAAGAAAAGCCTTTTCCACCAAACAATTTCATTTCAGAAGATTCATATCTAAATGGAAATCCACACTTCCGTTGGTGAGTTAGCTACACCAGTCCTAACACCATGATGGTATACAATTTAAATTCAGCACAAGAAAAAGACAAAGTTAGTTAAAACACACAATAGACACATGTAATGCAACTTAAAAACAAGTAAGACAGCTTCCTAAAGCATTTCTCTAAAAGCTGTCTGGCTTCAGGACCATGACTGCTCAGTTCCTTTGACTTTGTTTTTCTATTTCTGGAGAATTCCTAGCAAATATTTTAAATTTCAGGAATACTGAGGTTTATAAATAGTACTCCTGAAGTCATTTTCAATGGGAATTCAGGTCACTGTATAAATGTTATCTGTGTCTGGCATGCTGTATTGCCATCTTCACTCAAGTGCATTTTACCAAAGGAATACTTAGGGATCATCACTGCTTATAAGGAACGTCTCTCTATATAAAAAATTACTGAAATTTACAAATGAAAATGGCTCTTTGTCCTTCGGAGTAGGGGAGCTGTAGGAAGGGAAAATGAGGCAAAGAGGAAAAAAAATAGGGGGAGAGATGATTTCAGGAAGGAAATAGAAAAAAAAATTCTACTTGAAATCTTTCCTCCCAAATTAAGAGCTGGTCTCATTGCAAAGCGCAACTAGAATGAGTGGGAGACTTTGCTTTGTGTCCCTCCTCAATAACTCCTCAATTCCTTTAAAAAAATAAGCAGCTTCTTCCTGATAGCAACAGGATGATTCACAGGAAATTTGGCTGGAAGACACTTGTTCTGACAGAGTTTCTCCTCCACGAACGTGAAGTGAACAGGGTGTGTGTGCTGGGGTGTGGGAGCAGTCCCACTGTGGCGGATTCCTAGGACCCTCTGGGGCAAAGATGGCAAACCTTACCTGCAGTGGCACACAGAGGCATGAAAGGGGTGGAACACAAGTTTGCTGGTCAGCAAATGGAATGAAGAAAGGAAAGATGTCACAGTCGCAACCAAAACATACACACACACACACCAGCCTGCAACTCTTCTCCTCATTCTTTTCAGGATCATTTGTCCAGCAATACTGCAGAGAAGGTTACCTGAATCTCCTACAATGAAATCAGAGAAGTAAAAAAACAAAACAAAACAAAACAAAACAAACAAACAAAAAAAAAAACAAGAAAGGAAACTCCTTGTTAAAATTCTTTGGCGTGATCATTCTCCATTATTTAAATGCATTTCTCTGTTCCAAGTTCAAAAAAGCCAGTTCCAATCTCAAAGGGAGCCCACGCTGTTGGCTGAAAACCACCCATACCCTTCTTTGCTTCTTGTTTTTAAGGGACACTGCTCATGGGTTCACACGATGCAAATACTGGTGTTGCAATCACCTTCATTTGATTGATGGTGTAGTTGAGACCCAGAGAAGGTAAGTGTTGTGCCAGGGTCACTGACCAGTAAGTGGCAAAACAGGCTTTTGACCTCATTCTTCTACACTGTGTCTAGCGCCTCTAGCCATAGCTCATTTCAGGGTCACTAGAGCTGAAAAGTAAATTGTTTGTTCAAATAGTGCTTTCATGCATCAGTATTTCTAACTGGCACGGACATGGGGCAGGCTTTGGGGATAATTTTGCCACACTGTTGATCACTCCACCATACAGTGTACTACACAGAGCACTGCCCAGTTACCAATTCTCTGTTGATCCAAATGGGAAAACATCCTCATAGCAAATGCAAGGCACCAAGATTCACGTGGATGGGCAGAGTGAGTGCTGTTCTTAAAATGCTCATCAGAAGCCAGATGACAAACTCAATAGCTAAGAAGCTTTATCGTCAAGGTAAAGGAAAGTGGCGTAAGTTTCCAATATGGAAGACAAAGCCTTGGAAAATTCTGGAGTAGCATCTCAATGATCTTTACCTACAGAGTACAAAAGGCAACCAGGGTGCAGGCAAGGGTGGCATCTTGCTAATGTTCCCAAGGAGTGCAGCCACAGGCATGTTCATGCAGGCTAGCGCCTGGAGAAGGCCAAGGCAGAGCTGGGACAGGAAAGACGGCCTTCTCTTGAAAACAAACCAGACAGTCAAACAGACAAAAGTCAAGCACACAACACAGAATGGAGAGGAGCAAATGCCAGAGGGGAGGGGATGGCAAGGGTGGACAGCTCAGCAAACCAGGTTAGCCCTGTGGTCTCAGGTGAAGTTTTACAAAGCTGTGAGGCAGAAGCAGTGGCTTTGATAATCACTCTTTCCTGACTTGGGCAACAGGCTGATGGACTTAACCCATCCACCCGACCTACCTACCTAATTTCACTAATGCTCAAAGAAGTAGTCTAATCTATTGAACTATTCAGAGAAAATCCAGCCTGTGACAGCAGCAAAGCTGTGAGCCTGTCTTCTTCATGACATGAGGGTTCTTTCAGAATGCAGAGGTAGCAATGTACACAGAGATTCTCACTGGGTGACCTTGATCTACGTGCATGGACCCTTCTGCACTTTTTCTACTCTTTAGAATGAGCACAGGCTACTCTTACAGCCAGCCTTTATTCAGTTTAGCTTCATTTTTGTCTCCAAAAAAGCAAGCAAACCAATAATATCTGGAAAGGAGGAGTGATCTTGTGGGGTGATTTGGATTATGTTTCAGTTGTGGCCTTCATGGTAAGAACAAAAGGGATCTTATGGGGACAGTTGCCTGTCATGTTCAGCAAGATCAGACCAGCCTTCATTCTGAAGGGCTGAGCCAAGTTTACTCTTACAGGACACTGCCTGTGCCCCACAGCAGTTATTGCTGGGCCACACTATCATTTCAGGGCCAACAGTGAGGCAGGATATAGAAGGGTCATGGTAGGATACCCACTGGCATCCTCCTTCTCTGTCATGGTAGAGTTCCCTGGGTGGTCTTGATACTTACATGGAGGCAGCAGTGCATGGGATAGAAGGTGAAAAACCTGCTGATGGAGGGATGTTTGATTGGAATAACAAAGTCCTTCTGCTAGTTAGAAAACAGAAGCTACGAGTTTAACGCAGGGCCAAGACTCTCATTTCCCCATCCTCATTAAGAAAGAAAGAATGCAGAGAGCAACAACTGCACCGTCAGCTCACACTGTCTGCAACAGCTGGGTAGCTACCATGATGCCTCAGGACTTCAGAAAAGCAATGCATGCAGCAGAGAAATCAAAAAGCTGTCGATGCTTTCTGCAGTCAACAACGTTAAATGTGTTGCTTGTGCCATCTGACTTGTCACGAATCCCAAATTAATCAAGGTCACATATGCTCTCTGAGCCCCCCATAAAGCACTGGAAATACAAAATACACTTTTCTCTTTCCTTTGTCCCTCATGAAACGGGTAGAACTTTTGACTGAGATTGGCTCTTGTTGGGCTTGGATTTAATATGGTTGCTAGAAAAGTAAATTTCAGGTGAGGGAAAAGGCTGAGTCTAAAAAGATTTCCTAAGGCTTCTGAGGACAGAACACTGTTTTGTAATTAGAAGGACCTCTGCTGTAGTGATCTTGGTGTTATGCACTCTGAAGCATTCAGTCCAACCCTACACACAACTGACAGGGATTCCACACATATAGTATTAAGTTGGACAACTATGCTTTTGAGAAATTTGCAAAGACTGTGGGGATAGTGTTGTGGCATAGAGGGCTAAGCCACCACTTGGGATACCCACATTCCCTATTGGAGTGCATGCTTTGAGTCCTGCGTACTCCTCTTCTGATCCAGCTTTCTGTTAATGTGTCTGGGAAGGTAGCAGATGATGACGCAAGTTCTTGAGTCCCTGCCAACTTCATGGGAGGCCCTGATAAAGTTCCTGGTCCTGGTTTTGCCCTGGTCCAGCCCTGGCTGTTAAGGCCACAAGGAGAGTGAACCAGCAGACGAAATCTCTTTCTCTTTCTTGCATTCGTCTCTTCCTCTCTTTCTGTCAATATGCCTTTCAAATCAATAATAAATAGATCTTTTTTTTAAAAAAAAATACAGCTGTATATTGTGTAAAGCATTTTTTACATGGGAAACTTTTTTTGTCTAGTAGGCTTTCTAGTAGGCTGTAACAGACTTAGCTGCAGAATTGATAGCAAAACATGGTCTTTGGGATGTCATGCCACAGAGAATTCGAGTTTTATTTTCTAATTCAAAATGCCTGCCCCTTGCCCACGGCCCGGATTTGCACAGAGCTTGACTACCTCCATGAGAAATGACTCTCCTGTAGGGCTCGATGACCTTCATGTCAATCCGCTGCTCTTGTTCTCCAATCACCACTGTCCTCCACAGCCGGTTGTCCTCCCGTTCCTCCTCAGCTGTATATTCTGGAATAGACTCTGACTCTTGGCCAGAATCTTTGTTTGCCATGGAATCTTCTGGAAATGAAGCACAGAGCAGGGCTGAAGGAGCAAGACATCCACAACTGAGGCGACTAAATGCCTAGGTTGCAAGTTCCCTCCTGGACAAGCCAACTTGATGGAACTCCATGTTTTGGATGACTTCTATGGAACTTAACATCATACTACATATTGTCTACTCAATAAAGTCATTTTGTTGGCTGGTAGAACACCCAGATTCACTGCTAAGGCTGTGCTGAAGGTGGTAATTGGTGCAAGCATGGCTGTCTTGTGTCAATAGTGGTCCAGTGGAGAATAAACCAGAGCTGGCTCATCTTAAATCACGTGGATTAAAGACTACAGGTCCTCCTAATGGGGCAAAAGGTTATTTATCAGGCCCATATAATCTTTTTTTTTTTTTTTTTGACAGGCAAAGTGGACAGTGAGAGACAGAGACAGAGACAGAGAGAAAGGTCTTCCTTTTGCCGTTGGTTCACCCTCCAATGGCCGCCGCAGCTGGTGTGCTGCGGCTGGCGCACCGCGCTGATCCGAAGGCAGGAGCCAGGTGCTTCTCCTGGTCTCCCATGGGGTGCAGGGCCCAAGCACTTGGGCCATCCTCCACTGCACTCCCTGGCCACAGCAGAGAGCTGGCCTGGAAGAGGTGCTACTGGGACAGAATCCGGCGCCCTGACCAGGACTAGAACCCGGTGTGCCGATGCCGCAAGGCAGAGGATTAGCCTATTGAGCAGCGGCGCCGGCCGAGGCCCATATAATCTTGATTCTCTTAGGCCATATCTCCTGAGTGTTCAGTCTTATAGTGTCCTTAGCTTGGCAGCATGATGATACTACCAGCCAACACCTCTACTCTAAGACTCTTATAATGGGGTTGAACCCCCTTTCTTATTGGGAACATATGATGTGTATTATTCCATTTTAAAATATGCTAAAGAAATATTTTAACTGTAAGTGAGAAACAATGTTATAGGCCAGAAACACTCTATGGACAAACATTCTTAAGACTACTAGATTTGTGGATACAAAAGGCAATAAAAAAAAGCCAATTTAGCATTCTTTGGGGGAGAAGTTTACTTTTGGTCATCCAATAAAGGTAACCATGTTGCTTTTCCAAGGAATAAGCAGTGATTGTTTCTACTTTTACTAGAAATACTAGTAGAGTTTAACCACAATTATTCTTTGATCATATAATTTAAAGATTATCTATAACCTTCACTGTAATTGTGAGATATTATCACTGGCTTAGTTTTCACTCATGGGAAAAGACAATTGAATTTATACTGCACTATAACTTGTAGTCTTCCTAAAGCAAGTTTATATTCATAATAGCAATATTTTATTACATACTTATAAAATTAATAATAATATGAATAACTATCTAACATGTACTGGCATAGCAGTAGATATTAAAATGGACATTATATCAATGCAAAAGCTGACTCCAAAGTAGTTTGCTTCAACCCACAGAGTTAGTAAGCACACATATCAAAACCTTTCTTTTTCAACTCTCTTAAGTTATCACATTATACCTTGAATATGTGATTCTTCATCCTATTTATTTTACTAAGAGGCTACGAGTTCCTTTGGCTAAGGAGCTATGTCTGAATCACCTCCATCAACCCACTCCACACTTAGCTTGGAACCTACTCAGAAAACTCAGTTAAAACTGAGAAGTTGAGTGGGAAATAAAGGAAAGCTTGGACAAGTTCCTAGAAATATGGGTGATCTGTAAGGGAGCCACAACAAAGCCATTATGTTCTGGAAGACTCTGCAATTATACATTCAAATGTGCCTAATTGCATATAACTTAGAGTAGCAAAATGAAGTCCAGTTGGGAAGCAATCCTACCCCTTTGTGCCAACATCAATAGCTATCACCACCTACAGAGCATTGGCTCACCCCATCTTCTACTGTGTTTCCCACCAGCACTGGGCAACTTAATGAGGACAGAAAACAGTAATCTTTGGCTTTGAATTAAGCACTATGTCACTTGTACAAATCCATCCATCCGTCTGGAATTTTTTCTGTTTCTTCCTTCTTACTTGGATTAGGACTCTAGGGTGCTAACCTTAGCTCTTTTCCTAGGACCCTATTTACCATCTGTGTCTACTCCCTCGGGACTCTGGGCTCTGATGTGGATTGTTTTCCAAGGCTCCTGTACACAGGTGCCCTTCTTTGCAATGACCTTGCCACACACCAAACCTTCTTCATTGTGTTCAGCGTTCTCTGGCCTGCTCTAGCTTGACTCCAGTGATGTATCTGGGGTGAGAGTGTGATGATTTTATTTCCTACCAACTTTTATTTAAGTTGCCTCATTGAAAAAAATTATATACCATATTTTTTATTCTAGTTATAAAAGTAAAGCAGATATCACATGCGTATAGTTGACTGATCTTTGACAAAGGAGCAAAAGCCATTCAATGGAGCAAAGATGGTTTTACAAATGAGCTGGAACAACTGGACATCCTCACGCGAAAAACTGAATCTGGAGCCAGACCTTCCATCTTTCACAAAAATTCACTCAAAATGGGCCATAGACTTAAATATAAAATCAAAACTATAAAATTTCTAGAGAATAACATAAAAGAAAACCTAATTGATCTTATATATGGTGACAACTATTTATATAAAACACCAAAGGCATGACCTATAAAATAATTGATGAACTGGACTTCACTAAAATAAAAAACTTCCATGAAACACAATGTCAAGAGACAAAGACAAGCTGCAGACAGAAAATATCTGTAAAATACAAAGCTGATAAAGGACTGTTGTCCAATACATATGAAGAATGCTTAAAACTCAGTAATAAAAAAATAAATCAACATAGAAATGGGGAAAAGACCTGAACAGACACCTCATTAAAAAGAGACAGATGGTAGGTAACCATAAAAAGATGTTCAACATCATGTTTGATTAGGAAATTGCAAATTAAAATGCAAATGAGATACCACTACATATTTATTAGAATGGCCAAAATCCAAAACACTGACAACACCAAATACTGGTGAGGGCTGGGGCAATAGGCACTCTCATTTGTTACTGGTAGGCATTCAAAATAATGCAGCCACTTTGAAAGATATCTTGGCAGTTCCTTATAAAATGAAATATACTCATCATAGAACCCAGCAACTGTACTCCTTGGTAATTAGCCACATGTGTTCTAAATGTACATTAACATAAAAACCTGTACATGTAGGTTTATAGCAGCTTTATTCATAATTGGCAAGATGTAGAAGCAATAAAGATGGCCTTTAGTAGGTGAATGGAAAAATTAAATATGTTATATATAGACAATGAATGTTATTCAGCACTAAAAAATGTATTATCATGACATAAAAAGACATTGAGAAACCTTAAATAAATAAGTGAAGGAAATCATTCTGAAAGGCTATATATTGTATAATTCTATTTCCATGACATTTTGAAACAGGCAAAACTAAGGAGTAAAAGACTCAGTGGTGGGGCTGGCGCTGCCTGCAGTGCTGGCATCCTATTTGGGCGCCAGTTTGAGTCTCAGCTTCTCCACTTCTGATCCAGCTCTCTGCTGTGGCCTGGGAAAGCAGTAAATGGCAAAAGTCCTTGAACCCCTGCACCCACATGGAAGACCAGGAAGAAGCTCCTGGCTTCGGATAGGCCCAGCTCCGGCCATTGCAGCCATTTGAGAAGTGAACCAACTGATGAAAGCTCTCTCTGTCTCTGCCTCTCTGTAACTCTGCCTTTCAAATAAATAAATAAATCTGAAGAAAAAAAGACTCAGTGGTTGTCAGGGATTGGAGGGATGAATAGATGGAGCACAGAGGGTTTTTAGGGCACTGAAATTCTATACTATACTATAACAATGGATCCATGTCTACAAACATCAAAAGTGAACCTTCATGTAAACTAAGCACTCTGGGTGATAATGATGTGTGACGTGTCAAGGAAGGTTCGTCAAGTGTAACAAATGTACCAGTCTCAAGGAAGAGTAGATTGGGAGAGAGGTTGAACACAGAGGGTGTGGGGCATATACAGAACTCTCCATATTTTTTACTCAAATTTGCTGTGAACCTAAAACTGCTCTTCTAAATTTTTTTAAAGAGTAAAACACACTAATAAATGTCCAGGCAATGCAGCAATTGTTCATAAAAGCAAAAAATCAGTAAGATCATTCTCACCTTTTACTACTGATATGTATTTCTCTTCTTCTACACACTTTCCCCAAAAATATGATTATGTATATACACACACATACACACACACACACACATAGAGAGAGAGTTCTATAATTTACTCCTATCTAATAATAAAGGATAGTATAACAAAGAGAGCGATAGAGAGAGAGAGAGAGAGAGATGGACAGAGAGAGCTACCATACATTGGTTCACTCCCCCAAATGCCTGCAATGGCAACAGCTGGGTGGGCTGAAGCAGGGAGCCAGGAATTCAATCCAGATCTTCTACGTGGGTGGCCGGAATCCATTACTTAAGGGATCACTGCCGCCTCCCTGGTCTGTATTAGCAGGAAGTTTGTAGTCAGGAGCTGGAGATAGGTCTTGAACCCAGGCACTACAGTATGGGGCACAGTCATCCCAACTCATGACTTAACTGCTAGGCAAAACTATCAGTTAATCTCAGAAAATACAGATCCTGCTCATTTTTAAAAGTAGTTCTCAAGTATTCCACTTTACTGTCCATCAGTTCCATGGTGATGGAAATTTTGTTTTAGTACATGTTATTGTCATGGTTCTTTAAAAAGAATTCACTCCAGTAAGCATTTTTCGAACATTGCCTTACCTCATTTGTGCAGATACTGCTAATAGAAGCTTCCTAGCAAAGGAAAGCTGAGTCAACAGGTAAAAATATCTGAAAGTTTTTATGGGCATTTTGGCCCTTAAGTATATCATATGCTATGATATTCTTAACATGAGAGTGCCTGTTTCCTTCCATCATCAAGAACACTGGAGGCTATCAAAGTTTTTAACCTGGAAAACTAAAGATGAAAATGTTACATGTTGTTTTAATCTTAATGAAGCATTAAAGAAG